CAGCTCTGTCCCACCAGGTGTGCCCACAGCCTGATGGAGACAAGAGGGACTTGTGACATGCCTGAGACTGTCTACCTGCTCAGCATCCTCCCAAAAGGTCCTCTGGGACCCTTAGGCAAGACACTGGCCCCTCAGTGCCCATGGCAGCTGGTCCCAGAGGCACTGGGGTTGTGAGAGTTGGGTTTTGCATGTGAGATGTGTCAAGCTGCTTGTGCCACTGGGGTGCTTGGTGGGACTTGGAGACAGCGATATTTTGGGGGTGTTAGGATGCTCAGTGCAGTGTGGTGGAGGTGGGATGCTTTGGCAGCACCGTCACATCCAGGTCTAGAAAGACCCCTGTGCTGGCTGTGGCTGGGTCATGGCAGTAACTTGCTTTTCCTCTCTGGTTCTTTAGGATGCCACAAAATCCCCCAGGAGTGGGCAGTCACGCTGCAAAACATCCAGGTACTTGCCTCGGTTTCCCTTTGTGATGACCATCTCTGCTCTGTCTGAAGCCCCCTCCCACCAACACCTGCTTCTCCAGAGGTGCTATACCTTGGAGATGCTCCCGGTGAAGAGCACATCTCCATCCCCAACCCAAGGCACTCCAAGAGGTCTGGAGCAGGGGAAAGGCCACAGGCAGCCGTGTCCCTGTGTCCCAGCCTGTCTTGCAGGTTAGGGAAGGGTCCCCTGTCCCCTCCCCGTGCCATGTCTTGACAGTGGTTCCCTTCCTTGCCCAGGAGCATGAGCCTGACTGCAGCCATGGAGAGCAGCTGCGAGCTGGACCTGGTGTACATCACGGAGCGGATCATCGCTGTCTCCTACCCCAGCGTGGCCGAGGAGCAGAGTTACTCCAGCAACCTCCGTGAAGTGGCCCACATGCTCAAGTCCAAGCACGGGAACAACTATGTGGTGAGGGGCACAGCCAGGTCCCTGTCAGGCTGGTGGAGGGGCTGGGTTCTCAGCTGCTGGGGATGGGTGCTTGCAGGCCATGGATACTGCATCCTTGTCTCCATCTGGGCTCTGTTCGGGGAGGGTTTTTGCAATCTGTCTATGCTGGATAGATTTTTTCTTCATTGAAGATTTCTAGTCCCTTTCAGACCCCCTGGGAGTTTTTGGTCATTGTATTGCCCTGTGGCAAGGTGTCACTGAGGGTAATATGTCTGGGGAAGCCTCTCGTAGCAGGATTTGGGAAGGCTTTGGGGTGAGGAAGAGGTGAGGTGGCAGCAAGGGAGGAAGATGTCCTCTCACTCTGTTTTTCATCTTCCCTAAAGCTTTTCAACCTCTCTGAGCGGAGACGTGATGTCAACAAACTTCACCCCAAGGTGGGTCACAGCTGTGAGAAGCAGCAGGGGTCTCAGGGACCTCAGGGCAGGCCTGTCTGCAGGACCAGCTCCCTGTTACAAGATGTCTAGGAGAGAAACAGCCACCTTTTCTGTTCCATCCAGCTGGGAAAAACTTCACACTGTGTTTGTGGTATTTCAGCTTGACTCCCATTGCCCTCCCAGCCCTCCATTCTCAGTCCAAAACTGGCTGTTTGGAATCTCCTGGAGACCCCCCTAAAGCATGTCCTCATCCCTCTGATAATGGGGGAGCCCTCAGAAACCAAGCCAAGTCACCTGGGGTGAGGGGCCTGAGATGTGGGACCACGGTGGCCTCCCTTGGCCAGGGATCTGGGCAGTGGTGTGCAGGGTTGGGAGGTTGCATGTCAGTGCAACACAGGAATGCCTGTGCCCTGAGCTTTGCCCACTGGCAGGCTGGGAACTCCACATGGGAGTGCCTGTGACCCCAGGCTGTTTGTTCCCCTGTTCAGGTGCTGGATTTTGGATGGCCTGACATGCACACCCCTGCGCTGGAGAAGATCTGCAGCATTTGCAAAGCCATGGACACGTGGCTCAACGCAGCGCCACACAATGTGGTGGTGCTGCACAACAAGGTGGGCAGGACCAGTCACTGGGGCACAGAGATGGGGGAACTGGGGTCTGTGGGGCTGCAGGGATTGGGCTGAGCAGCCTCAGAGCATGAGAGATGTAGAGAATGTGGTGGAGAGAGTTGTGGTTTGGGGTGTGGGCAGGTGTCAGCACATACGTGTAGATTGGTGTGTGTCTAATAAGGGTTGGGGCATGCTTATAGGGATCAGTGTGTGCCTCTGTGTGGGATGTCTGTGCCTGGGTGCTCCCAGGCCCTGCTGCCCCCGTGACACCCCTTCTGCTGTGTGCCTGCAGGGGAACCGTGGCCGGCTGGGGGTGGTAGTGGCTGCCTACATGCACTACAGCAACATCTCTGCCAGGTGAGAGAGACATGAGATCCTGGGGTGGCCCTGGGGCCAGTGGTGCTGGGGTGCTGGTGCCAGTACTTTCCTTCAACCTCATCTGCCCTTTGATCCCCACAGTGCTGACCAGGCTCTGGACAGGTTTGCCATGAAGCGCTTCTATGAGGACAAGGTGGTGCCGGTGGGACAGCCATCCCAGAAGAGGTGGGTCCTGGCACGCCTTTGCAGGCTGGGTTTTTCCCCATAGGATGGTTGGATGCAGGGGTCCATGGCGAATGTTCATCTGTGGGTTCTACTCCTGAGCTGCCTGTCTGCCCTCCAGGTACATCCATTACTTCAGTGGGCTCCTCTCTGGCAGCATCAAGATGAACAACAAGCCACTCTTCCTCCACCACGTCATCATGCATGGCATCCCCAACTTTGAGTCAAAAGGCGGTAGGTGGTCCCAGCTGCTTCCCCTGCCTGCTTCT